GAACTCTAGTAAATTAGTAATAAGGTAAGTAAATTACTAAAACTTAAAAAAAAAATTACTAACCTTTACTAAAAAGTAGTAGAATTGTAGAACCTTTTTAAACTTTTAAGCCCCTAAAAAGCAACTAACTAAGCCTATTAAATACATAAACTATAAGTAGAATTAGTAAAGATCTAAAACATCTTAATAAAGAAAGTAAGTATTATAGCTAAAAAAACTTTAAGACTAGCCTTTTTAAAGCCTTTTAAAGAATTATTAAAGGACTTCTAACTATTCTTTATAAAATGTTACCTCTATATGCAATACAACAAAGAAGCATTTTAGACTAACATAGAAATAATATCTTAGATAAGACTACACCTAGAAGGCCCCTTTATAATTTAGTTTTAACTTTATGCAGATAATTAGATAAACTTTAGAGCAAATAGTAAAGCACTTACTTTTAAAATATAAAAAATATTTAGCAGCATTAAAAATTTTAAAGAAGCCCTAACAGCTATTTATAAAACCTTTAATAAAAAGAAAATTACAGCTAATAAGTTAAATACTATAAAATAAGGAACTAGTCTAGTCTAGAACTATGCAGCACGCTTTAGAGAACAGCTGGCCATCTGTAGATAGACAGACTAGAAGGCTCTCTGCTGCATGTTCTATAATAGACTAAGCAAAATAGTAAAAGATAAATTTATACATAGTAAGAAACTAACTACTTTTAAAAACTTTATTATATAAGCAACAACTTATAACAACTATTATAAGGAGTGTAAAAAAGAAAAGAAATAAAAAGAAACTTTCTAAAAACTAAAGTTTATTCTTATAAAGAAAAAGCTTCTATAATATAATAAAAAACTAATAAACCTTAGTTATGTAAAGCATACATAGAGCCTTTCCTTTAAAAAGAGCTAAGTTCTAGGACACAATAGGCTGCTCTTAACAAAAGAACAACAAAAATAGCTAGAGAATAAGGCCTGCCTAAACTATAGAAAAGTAGGACATTTTTACTAAAATTACCTAGACTCTTAGAAGGGGGAGAATAAAAATACTACAATAATAATAAAAGCTATTACTACTAAATACAGCCTTATAGATAAAGAAATATTAGAAAGATTAAACAACAAACTTTACTAGTAATGTAGAGAAAACTACTCTTTAAGTAACTGCTCTAAAGCATATTAGAAAGTAGTTATTTAAAATTTTAGTAGCCTTAATATAGTATTGCAGGACCTTATAATCTTTAAGGGATATAAAGAAGAGACTTAGATCTAAGGATATATTATAAATATTTAGAAAAGAAAAAAATAGTTCCCCTTTTAAGACTAGACCTCTAGCACTTTAGTAAGAGAGCTCTTTTAATAGTTTTAGGAATGCAAATGCTAGAAATGCAGTCTACAACATAACTACCTAAGTTATTGCATAGTTATGCTTTACTAGATAAATATTAGCAACAACTACTTTATATTTAACATTATACAATGTATAGCTAAAGTTAAATACAACATTATAAATAAATAAAAATAATAGCAGTTCTTTATAAAAATCTAAGAGTAGAAACTAGAAAAACTAGGCAGACCTGCTAGGTTTAAAGTCCTAAAGCTAGTACCTAGGAAGCCTAAGACACTGCTTCTAAGCCTTATAATTAGCAAGAAGGCTTTAGTAATACAATAGAGCTATAGTTAGGGCGCACTCTGTAGAAATAAAACCTATAGCACTAATAACTGCTAATAAAAAGAACATCTTGTTTAAATAGTACAAACACAGGAATACCTACAGTAGACTTAGGAGAGTCCCTTTAACATGTTACATAGACCTAACAATTATCTATACCTCTAGTACTAATGCACGCGACAGTATTGCATTAAGCATTAGAATAATAAGCATAGGACAGGCTAGTAGCCTATATAGGAAAAGAACTATAATAGTTGCCTATAGCAAGGGACAGCCTTAGCCTACAAAACTATAAACTGTTACGCCTGCTAAACTGCCCCCCCACACAAACAGGAGAGATAGGCAGCGTGTAAAGAACAAGACAACTATAGGTTTTACTACTTCTAGTAAAAAGTAGTAAGAAAAGAAGACTACCTAACATTACATTACCTAGTTAAAGATTATAAATGTAAAGCAGCTAACTACTATAATTAAGAACATTAAATCTATAAGAAAGAAAAAAATAAGTTTAATAATAACTTATAAGACATTAACTTATATTCTTTTCCTAATAAAGAAGTTAAACACAACATATTAGCAGTAATTATAGTAAGACAAGTGGCAGGACACAGCCTAACAACCACCTTTACATACAAAGGGTGGCCTAGACTAGCCCTTGTAGATAGCAGATGCACCTTTACTGCTATAGATAAGGATTAGGTGGATAAATAAAGCATACTATTTTATATAAAAAAAAACCTGTTTAAGGTAACCCTTACTAACATATTATTAATTAAATACAGCAGAGGATAGATTAACCTAGAAACTTATAAAAAGGACTTTAAAACCCTTAATATAAAAGACTAGAGATCTATAAATATACTCTAGCTAGGAGGCAAATACAATGCAATCTTAGGCTATAATTAGCTTAGAACACACAATCCTGTAATTAACTAGAGAACTATAACTATAAAAACTCTTAATAACTATGCACACATAACCTAGTTAGCATGCTATAATAACTAATGCTTAGTCTATAAATAAGCAAAACAAAGTAGTAGTTACTACCCTAAGAAAAGGAAACTTTAGAAATTCCCTTACTAAAAGCTAAAAGCTTAGGCAATAAAAATAATAAAAAAAAAACTTAAAAAGGTCCCTTATAAAAAAATTAAAGCTAATAAAGATATAAAATAAATTAGTGTTATCTAAGTCTAGGAAAAGGGCCACATCTTAGCTAAATATAAAGATTATAAGGATATGTTTAAGACACTAGAGGACCTAGGAGAACTACTACTACACTAGCCTTAAGATTATGCTATTAACTTAATAAAAAATTACAACCTAAAAACCTATAGGCTCTGTCCTCTAACAAGGACATAGAAGAAGGCCTTACAAGAATATGTTAATAAGATGCTAGCATAAGGCTATATCTAAAAAAGCCACAGCCTAGTAGCTTTAGCTATAGTTTTTATAAAAAAAAAAGAAAGAAAAATCTAAGTCTGTTAAGATTATAAGACATAAGCAAGCACTATTTTAGCTATCTAATATTAATTCCTAAGTGCCTTATTAGCTTTATAGTATTAAAAAGTAGTATATCTTATATAATAATTTAATTTAATTTTTTTATTTACTAGCTTAGTTTAGTTTTACTATTTAATAGCTACTTTTCTTAGTTACTACGCAGAGGTATAGGCTTTAACTAAGTGCTATAGATATCTTTATATAGCTAAGTGCTATAAATAACTTTTATAGCTAAAGCGCTTTACTGCCTTTAAAAAAATATTATATATACTTTAAGCTAAAACTATTGTATTATTAGCTAAAGCCTTAGTAGGTTTATTTTTAATAAAGATAAGCTACTACTATAAACTATTACTAGCACTACTAATCTCTAAGTTATAGCCTAAATATAGAGGTTTACTAGCTAGCTTATTATTACTCTTTTCTTTTATAGAGTAGTAACTAGTATAGTTATGCTATTTATAATTACTACATGCTCTGCTAAAGTGCCCCTCAGCGCAGCAGCACTCTAGGAACAGTTGTGGGCCTAAGACAGCGCTATAGCATGCGCTACACAGGTTGTCTACTACCTTTCTATAAGATTATATAAAGATAGTGTTAATATATAAAAGCCTATATAAAGCTATTTAATAAAAAGATATATTGCTATATATAAACTCTACATCCTGCCCTAGAAGGGCTAGCAATGCACAGGCCTGTAGACTATAAGCTAGTAGAGCTAGCTGCTGCTGTCCTATATATAGAACAGAATTAACATTAGTGCTAGCTTAGTTAGCAGCAGCAACAGTAGCATTATAAAAAATAAAAGCTTTATTTTAAGTATTAGCTTTATATAATAAAAGTAATTAAAATACTATAAGCTTAATGCTTACATTATTATTCTTATTCTTATTATTACTGCTGCTGCTGCTGCTGCTGCTGCTGCTATTGCTGTTACTACTATTATTACTGTTGTTGCTATTATTATTGCTGCTACTGCTATAGTAGTAGTAGATGTAGAAGAGTAGTAGTAGCAGTAAGTATCTATAATTATTGTACAACGCTGTAGTAAAGGCAGTTGCTATAAAAAGCAGTTGCAATATAGTTACATAAAATAACCTTTTACTTCTTAGATCTTTAAAAAACATTATATAAATGTGTTATAGTATGTTTTGCCTAGTAAAATACTATAGTGTTTTATACCTAAAATGCTCCTAAGCGATTGGCGATTAGTTTTTTCCCTTCACCAGCTAACAGTCCGCCGTAATTGAGACATGATGAAGGTAAATCACAGGAGAGCGAATCTCTTGAAGGCCAAAATCTTCAAGGACAAAACACACCGGTTCGACTCGCGTTCTGTATATGGTATCGCGGCTTATGGGCTTAGGAAGGTGGGCATAGCAAAAGTACGATTCTCGCTGCGCTAAATCCTCTCACCATACTGTGCCGCCGGATATCATTGTTCGGGCACCACAAATCCAACAGTTTTGGCCCCTCAGGAGGCAGCAGCACCGGACCTCAAGTCCAATCAACTGGGCATTCTCAGTATCATGTGTAGTTACACAGCAGAGGCAGCGCGCCGGAGCGGGTCAAACGGGTTAGCCTAATGAGGGAGAAGAGTGTGTCGGGCGTATACGTTTCTGGTAGTTGGATCGCTCAACAAGAGAGGCATGTATTGCTCATTCCTTATTAGTACTTTTGCATAAGCTTCTCAACCGCGCCATTGTGCCTAGATGCTGTGCCACATCGACTCCCCATTCTCACGAAACCGAAACTGCCACAGCCCGAACTCCCCGCTACCTGGTGGACATTCACACAGCTTTCGCCTCAACTCCAATCACCTCACAATATCCAACATGCTGCAACTCAGCGCACGCTCAATAACAACTCTCATACTCACAATCTTCACTGTAAGACACGCAGCGCATGTATAGCTCAAAGCTTGAAGATTGACGGGGCGCAGTATTACCTCGTCAAATGGACATACAATGCCTTTTTCCACAAACTATCCAAGATACCGGGACCTCTCAGCTGGCGAGCGTCTCGGCTTCCCTTCATCAAGTCATTTTTGCAAGGCACCATCATTCATGACATTGAGCGGCTTCATGAAAGATATGGACCAATCCTCCAGATTGCGCCAGACGAACTGACCTTCGCCCATCCCGACGCTTGGAACGATATTCTACAAGCTCGCCCCAGCCATCAACAATTCCCGAAAGATCCCCAATGGTGGCAACACGCCGGGCCACCATCTCTTATAAGCACATTAGATCCTCAAAATCACGCCCGCATGCGCAAGACACTCGCACCTGGTTTCACAGAACGCGCACTACGAGAACAGGAACCGATCCTGCTCCAATACGTCAACTTGCTAATTGAAGGGTTACGTGGCAAGATCATTGCAAACAAGAAAGAGGGGGCAGGTGGAACAGTCATCAACGTTTTCCCTTAGCTTAATTTCACTACTTTTGATATCTTTGGGGACCTTGGATTCGGCGAACCCTTCAACTGTCTCCAGGATTCTGAGTTCCATCCATGGATTGCCATGCTTTTCAACAGCGTCAAAGGAGCGTCCTTCGTATCAGCTGCAAAGTTCTACCCGCTAATCAACTAGCTCCTAATAAGATGCATCCCGCCGCGCTTAAAGAAAATGCAGAACAATCACTTCAAGTTCATCGCCAACAAAGTAGGGCGCAGGATGAACTGGGAAGCAGAAAGATCCGATATTATTGGCCACGCGCTGAAAGAGACGAAAGAGGGCAAAGGAATGTCACGAGATGAGATCGACTCGACATTCGCGATCATGGCCACCGCCGGAAGCGAGACAACTGCAACGGTCCTGGGTGGCACAATAAATTACTTGGCCAACAATCCGGACAAATGCAAGCTTCTGGCGCAAGAAATCCGATCCAGCTTCAAAAGTAAAATCAAAATCACCATGGTCAAGGTCAGAGATCTGAAATATCTCAACGCAGTAATAAACGAAGCACTACGTCTCTGCCCACCAGTGCCTTGGATTCTACCTCGGTTGGTGCCATCGGCTGGAGATATAGTCTGTGGAACGTGGCTCCCAGGAGGTGTAAGTCTTGAGGCCCGACGATTTTTTGCGGTATGCACCGTAAAGGCTCATTTTGTGTACAGACTCGAGTATCAATCCAAGCATACTCCCTGCATCGGAACCCAAGTTGTTTCCACGCAGCTTCATCATTTATCCCAGAGCGATGGCTTGCAGAAAATAGCGAGAATATGGATTCGCCATTTTTCAATGACAGACGTGATGCCGTACAAACTTTTAGTGTAGGACCTCAAGCATGCATGGGAAAAGGTCTCGCATGGGCGGAGATGCAGCTAATCCTTGCTAAATTCTTCTGGAACTTTGATATGAGTGCTGTAGAAGGGGAGAAACTGCGTTGGGAGGATCTACGGACGTTTCTCTTGGTAGAGAAACGGCCCATCCGAGTTGTACTAAAGGTTAGAGCCTCATGAAGCGAAGCGAATTCCGAATATATCCGTTCCTTATGAACGCAAGGCCGGATAATGGACCAAACTATTTTCTTGATGGGCTGTTCGCGCTCTTTCTGTTATCCGGCTCCATTCTGCATGGAATGGAGAGTTCTAAACTTAACGTAATACGGTCGACCAATCACTGTCAAGAGGGTGAACAATGCGCTAGAATTGCGCAGATAGCTGGTCCACAGGTAACAAGCTCTGGCGTGGAGTCCTGTCACACACTAAATCAAGGTACAGTACTGATGTCGACAGCGTCACGCCAGACCTGGAAGTTCACAGAAATTGCGGGGTTCAATCGGCTCTTCTGTCTTGCAAGCCATTTAGGAAACGTACGATCGCAGGGGTGATGTTGCCAAAGCCAGTAAAAGTCGTGCCGCTCGGCTAGCAGCATGATCTATGAGTTGCATTAATCGGCGGAATTTCTTGGCACATCCACATGTCTTCTTCTCCTAACAACATACCTTAAACAAATTACTAAAGGCCTATATTGCGCCTTAAATTAAGCTAAAATTGTTATTATATTGTAAGATTTTAATTACCTAATTAGGGACAAATTTAAAGCTAACCTTTAGTATTGTAGAAGCCTCTCTAGGGTTATTTACGCCCACTATCGCCATGTTTTAAGCTCATGGGGTCTCAGCTCGCCCACCACCTTGCCTTCCCTGTTAAGCGCTGTCAGCGCAGTGTTGTTGTAGTAGTTAAGGCCTCTTAGATTAAACTTAATTAAATATTTATTACTTTCTTTAGCTTAGATAGAAGCCTTAGTTAATTGCTAATTACAAGAACTGTGGCAAGACTGTTGTCAGATATGCGCACCTACTGTCAAGACAGGAGGAACGCTTGACGAAAGCTGCTACATAGTACGAGCAATAAGCTCGAACTGTATGTTGCTGCAGATTGCTGCATTTTGCAGCATGTTGCAGCAAATTGCAGCATTTTGCAGCAAATTGCAACATTTTGCAGCATTTTGCAGCATTTTGCAGCATTTTGCAAGCTGGTCGCGCATAGGGCAAGTGCGCGAGGGACTCGGATCGGCAAAACAAAAAGCCGAGCAACACGAGTAGAGCAGAAAAAGGATCGATAAATCAAGACAATCAATCATCATCCCATACATCACATCCAAACCCATCATTCATCTCAGGAAGCCCAGAAACAGTGCTTCAATCTGACAACTGTGTAAGGCCGGGATGGCGCTTACGTGTAAGGCCGAGATGGTGCTTACGTGCGACGGGTATATATACTATTCTGTACGCAATAATCAACTGTTGGTTAATTATTCACACCTTTTTAGTTGTATTAGCGTAGTGGTACAGAGCTCTGTCCTTACATAATAATTAACTAACAGCAGGGTACAGTTAGTGTTTGACCCCCACCTTAGTCAGCTTTAAGCTAGTTTTTAGACTGAAACGTGAGGCGGCCTCTTCTAGCGCCACGTTGTTGCTGCTGGAAGGTCTAGTGTATATGGCTTAGCTGGCGTGGGCCACTAAGCGTTGTTATTTATCCCACGCCTCTAGGCCGCAGGTGGTCAGCCTCTGGCCGGTAACCGAGACATGCGCATAGGCGCCTCTGAGCTGCGGGTAGGTCATGTGACGCCTGGGACATGCGTCTGCTAAGAAGGGGGATAATGTAAGGCCGAGATGGTGCTTACGTGCGACGGGTATATATACTATTCTGTACGCAATAATTAACTGTTGGTTAATTATTCGCATCTTTTTAGTTGTATTAGCGTAGTGGTACAAAGCTCCGTCCTTACAGACTGCTGTGTACAACGTGCTAGATAATTGTTACAATCCTTGCTTGGCAGAGTCCTTTTGGATGCTGCAAGCACGCGGGCCTTCTGGGTTAGAGTGGAGATGGGTAGGGGAACCTGCCATAGATGTACGGTCCTTGGTTTGGTCCAGGTATGGAGACAGTAGGGTGGCTAAATTGTGGTTTGAGCTTTAACAGCAGTATAAGGCGCTTTTGTTAAACAGTTCTTAGAACAGGAGTAGAGGTGTATATAGTGCAAGATACACAACTAGTATTGTAGCTTGTTAAAAAGCTAGAATGCTACTTAGTCTATAGGAATAAACTAAATGTTAATTACACCTTCTAAAGGTTAGTTAACTGCGGTCTTTATATACATTTGCATTATGTAGTGATCGCGGCCTTAGCCTTGCTAAGCGTTGCGAGCACTGCAATTCATCATGTAGTAATCACAGCCTTAGCTTGCTAAGCGTTGCAAGCACTGCGATCCCTTGTGTAGTAATCGCAGCCTTAGCTTGCTAATCGTTGCGAGCACTGCAATCCCTAGCGTGGTCTTCCTATTAGACAACGCATTTGTCTATAGCCTGCTCTAAAGGATTAGGGCTTGTTAGTACTGCGGCGTCCCTTAGCTCTTCCTATTTAAGTATAAAAGAGTTCTAAGCTTAATTGCTCAGACAGTAGGGGTTACTGCCAAGGTCTTAGCTGGTCCATTTGTAGACTGTAACACGCGGGCCTCCCTTCCTAGCAGCGTCATTGCTGTTCTGCCTGCACTGCTGTAAATGTTAGAAGTTCTTTATTACTTATAAGTCTCCCTTTATAAACGCCTTACAAACATCTATTTTTCTAATGCTAAAGTATGCCTTGTTAGCTAACTTACATCTATTAGATTTAAACTGCCTCCTTCCTTAACCCTTTTTACTGTACAAAGATGCAGCTCTATAGTCCTTATTATTCTTTTAGGTCTTCCTGCGTGTTAACCTTGCCATTAGACAAGTGCGTAGAATGTGTGAAGAAGGGCAGCAGGTGTAACGCTTTTATTTTAGATGCTGCCTACAAGAGTCTAGAGAACAAGCAAAAGAGGGTTCTCTAGGATCTAAAAGACTTAAAGATTTATTAGTTAGAGATTCTAGAACAGCTTTATAAGAATGCTGCTTATAAGTCTTATTTAGAGAAGCAGCTTAAGTTGCTGTAGGGTTAGAGAGTAAAATATCTAGAAGACCTCTTATTACTAGATAAGATTAAAGCACTTAAGGCAGAAGCTGCTAGTCTCCCTCCTCCTTAGCGTGCGTCGCTGGGTCCTCATCCACGTATATTGCTGCTATCTAATAATGGCGTGGTGTTGTTGTCTGTAGCAGGCGACGTGTTTCCTTTAGGCCCCCTTTTACCTAGCTAGTTTTGCCTAGGTAGGACAAGTAATACTCCTTTAGTAGTTAGTAAGCGTTTGTTAAGTTCTTAACTAGTTTTTATATGTTTTTACTAGTAAGCTATCTTTTTTAATTAATAAAAAGCTTATGTTCTTCTTTTCTATTATTTATAATTTATTTTACTTTATATTCTATTTCTATGTCTTTTTATTCTATTATAGATAGCAGGATTTGTTTTAGGGCTTTCTTAAGCCTAGAGATGTAGAACTATAGGTGTATCTTTATTAAGAAGAGGAGCTTAAGTTTGTAATTATTCTTTTATACCTACAGGACTTTGTAGAGTCTAATTTGTCTCTCTGCTAGCTTTCTTAAAGGACTAGAAGTCTGCAGATGTTTTGTATCTAGATATATGTGATCTCCTAGGCAGATTTCTAGAGCCTTAGAGCAGGTCTGTTCTAGTTACCACTCTATTTGTTCTCTAGCGTTCTGTGCTTTGCTAGCTAACTTTTAATATAGCTTTTTTAGCTTTTTTATTCTATTAGCAGCTTTAACTAGATCTTATAGCTGCGTTCCTTTTAAGGCGTATTATAAGTTGTAGCTAAAATTAGCCTTATAAGGTGTTTCTTTTATTACTAATAATTTAGTAGTGTTTATAGCTAGTTAAGCTAAAGAAAGCTATTCTACTTACTTTATTTACTTAAAAAAGATGTACTTTTTTAGGTACTTTTTTATTTTAGCATTAGCTTATTCTGTTTGTCTGTCTGTCTAGAGATAGTATGCTGTAGACAGCCTATGTTTAATGTTTAGGTGTTTTATAGCTGCTTACTAAAAGTGTGTAGTAAATAGCTTATTTTAGTCTAATATAATAATCTTAGAGGTACTGTAAATGCTAAGAACATGTTGTTTAAGTTTATAAATAAGTTCTTTAGCTATTATTATTTTCTCTAATGCTTAGAAGCGCAGCATTTTAGTTGTTTTATTAATAGTAACTACTATTATATTATAAAGCCTTTCTAATCCTAGTTCTGTTAAAAGGGGCAGGCTAGTAATAAAGTCTATATTTATTATAGCCTACAGCTGCTTAGAGGCCTCTATTAGTTAAAGGGCTCTATAAGGCTTATACTGCCTTAGGTTATTTTAGTTACAGGTGTTACACTTGCGCAATACCTCTATGCATAATTATTTAAGCCTAGGTATAGTTCTTAAAATAGCAACCTTTAACTTTTTCTAAAGAGTTCTAATCTCTAGGCGTCTAAACGCTAGCGCTTTATAATATTTCTAGATTAAGTTTTTGTCGCGTACACTAAGAGCCTTGGCTGGGGCTCGGAGCCTGGGGCGCGGCTCGGGATCTGGAGATAGTATGTCCCGAAGCTCGGTGTATATAAGGAGAGCCTTCAACTCTCTTAGATAGCAGAGTCACTTCATCCGATCTTCTGAACAGCTACTGCGAGGCTATTTTATCCTCCACAGTTTTTTTATTCTTATTAGGCAAAAGTAAGAACAGCTGCACTTTCTGTTAGTGTTAGGCTATTATATACTAGTGCATCTTCTTTACAGAATAGCACTAGTTCTTTAGTGTCTTTCTTAGGTCTATTAAAGTAGTCTGCTTTTTAGCTTAACACATCTGCCTACTTATTACTTATACTAGCTACATGTTTTATTGTAAAGTTAAATTAAGTAAGTTCTATTACTTATTATACTTGCATTAGCAAGAGTTTTTTAGTAAAAAGAAATATAATAAAGTTAGCATAGTTTATAAAAACTTTAAAACATTTTTTTTAGTTTTTAAAGTTCTATTTTCTAGGTTCTTAGAGCGTTAACTATAGCTTTTAATTCTTTGTTAAATATGCTATATTCTGCTTTAGC